CTCCCTGCTGAGCAGGGAGCCCGTTGCGGGACTCGATCCAGGGACTCCAGGATCATGACCTGAGCCGAAGGCAGTCGCTTAACCAACTGAGCCACTCAGGCGCCCTTTTTTTTTTTTTTTAAAGATTTTTATTTATTTATTTGATTGTGAAATTATTTGTATGAGGAATAGACTCTCTTCTGTATATGTGTGGATATATGTGTATATATGTATATATTAGGTTGAAATGGCTGTTTTTTTCAAGTTTTATTGAGATATGACTGACTTACATCATTGTATAAGTTTAAGGTATAAACATAATGATTTGATATATCAATATATTGTGAAATGATTATCACAGTGAGTTTAGTTAACATAAATTGCTGTTTTTATAGGTAAAAGATGGTTGGATATTGGCAGTTTCATATGGTTCAACCTAACGTATATATATATTAGCATTTACCATTTTAATTAGGTTTTGCTTAGGTAAATTCATAAAATATTTAATGAATAGGGAAAATGTCTGGACTTGAGGAAGTTTCATCTGGTGTCAAACCCCATATTGCTAACTGAGGGCTAACTATGTCCTCTTATCTTTGCCCGCCACTCACGCATTCCCAGGGTACTGGTTGGAGTGCTTTGTTGAGAGGAGACTAAGGTGCATTCTGCTCAGAAGAATGTGGCTCAGACTGAGTAATCGTGCCTGCCCTGGGAAGGGGTGGGAGTAGCTGTATGAGTGCAGCGTATTGCCGACTCTGCCTAGAGAGTGGGAGAAATCTGAAAATAGATGATGCTTATGAAATCAACTCCTCTAAGAGACTAGTTGAATTAGATTTTAAGCATGAAAACCATTGGTAGTGACAATTTGCTAGTATGAATGGGGCACCAACAGATGAAAACGGTTAAATAGTGCTTGAAAGAGAGCCTAACTTGAATAAAGCCTTTTACGGCCTGACACATGAACTGAACGTTTTCTTAGGTTTTATATCTTAGGTGTAGCATATCAAATAGGCCAATAGAGCAAATGGATTCTACTTTGGGTTTCAACTGTTCGTTTTTGATAGAAAAGCAGAAAACAAAATGGACAAGTTAAAAACACATTTTGTTATCCTTACTATAATATGGCAAATGGTTGATTTGGAAGACATTTTTTTGTGATATAAAGTATACACCAAAGGACAAAATTTTTGCCATATTATTTAGTTTGTAGAAAAGTTACATTATGTATTATGGGACTAAAATTTTTCTATAGAAGATGTACAATATAATCTTTTAAGAGTGTTGTTGATTTTGTCTTGTGAAATGCATGTATATGAAAGGTTATCAGAGTCAGTGGCTCTAGATCAATGGTTTTTAACTGTAGAATCTTTTGAGCAAATGAAATATTATGAGGCAATATAAACAAATCCAGTAAGAGCAGAGTGGCCTTGCTTGAATCGAGGGATGGAGGGGTGTCCAGAAACATGTTTATTCTCTACCCTACCTGGAATGGCCCCAGAGCTGGCTGAAATTTGAACCTTTGGGGATCCATGGGGCACAATTTAAAGAATTAGTGTATTATGTCCTGAGCTGATATATGCAAAGGGCATAGAGGTGAATCTTGAAGTATGCTTATCCACACAATATGTGATAAATCATTATCTAACTCAGACACATAACCATGGTACAGTGAAGACATGCTCCTTCCAGTTCATTGATGTTCATTCTGAGCTTTTTTGCTCTCATCAAAAAAAGGGTAAACTGTTATCACTTTTTCCCACCGTCAGCGTTTTCTTATACATTTCCTGTGTGATCCATCTCATTTTTGTTATTTTTTCAGTATAGCAACTGAATCTTTTAAAATATTCCAGTTTCTTACAGTGGCATTTGAATCTTTATTATGTTTGCTTTTTGAAAATTTCTATCACTTTGATTCAGAAGTAAGACTAACAACATAATCTCTAAAATATTGTTTTCTTGCTGTAATATGATTTAACTTAAAGTAATAGTGGTTACCATTTTATGCTTTTGCATCCATTATTGTATCAAATATTATTTTATAAAAAATAGGATCAGGGAAAGATTTTATTGTCAGCTAGCAGGTGGATCTTATTACATAGTTGCATTATAATTTTAATTATATGTATGTTATCAAGTGAGAATGTGCAGAAGTGCCTTTTAGGTATAAAATGATCTGAAAATCAACTTAGTCTAATATGTTAAAAATATCCTAGTAAAGGGCGCCTGGGTGGCTCAGTCGGTTAAGTGACTGCCTTTGGCTCAGGTCATGATCCCAGGGTCCTGGGATCGAGTCCTGCATCGGGCTCCCTGCTCTGCGGGGAGCCTGCTTCTCCCTCTCCCACTCCCCCTGCTTGTGTTCCCTCTCTCGCTGTGTCTCTCTCTGTCAAATAAATAAATAAAATCTTTAAAAAAAAAAAATCCTAGTAAGGAAAGGTGGTATATTTTACTAGTTTTTGTTGCACAGAGTGTTTCTTTGGCCAGAAACGCTAATATTGACCAAGCATTTATTGTGGCAGGCTTTGTGCTAAGCGCTTTACCTGCATTATTTCATTTAGTCCTTGTAACAACACTAAGAGACAGATGCTCTTTTTGCCCCCACTCTATAGATGAGGAAACCAAGCATTAGAGAATTATAGAAAATTACCCAAGGTCACAAAGCTAGTTAGTGGTAGAATTGGGACCTGTGCTGAGGGCACTCTGCCTCAAAGTCCCATGCTTTCAACCACTGGTGGTCAAAGGAATTGTTTTTCTGAGGTTGGAATTTTATTATGTACAAGTATATAGCTACATCTAATTTCTTTTTCATTTTGAGGTTTTTCCCTGTTATATAAATACTACATCATCATCTAAGAACATTTGGACAGTAGAGTGAAGTAAAACAAAGTTTGAAGTATCTGTAATTCCAGCACCCAAGGAAAACCATTGTTAGCATTTTTTTACCCCAACTGATCTTGTGCAATATTTGTTGTGAAGAGGTCAGGGAGCGTCCTGGGTAAGAGTGTGCTTCTGGAGGCAGGATGCCAGGGTTAGGCTTCTGGTTCTGCCATTTGCGAGCCGAGTGACTAGCAAGTCTCTGCATCTCTCTGTCTCTGTTTACTCATCTACAAAATGAAGGTAATAACTGTACCTTTCCACAGGATTGTTATGGAGGTTAAAGGAGTAGGTTTACATGAGACACTAAGAACGGTTTTTGACACGTAGTGGGTACTACAAAATGTTAGCGATTATTCTTTGACTATTAAAGAAAGTTTAATTGGCGGGGGGGTGGGTGGGAAGATGAGTTAGCCTCT